ATAAATTTGTTCTAATGAAGGAAAAGGATCCTTACCGCTTAAGCACCTGGATCCGTATTTGATCATATTCGATGTTCAAACAAGCTAAAAAATCATAAATTCGCTCTTTTTTTATCAATTTCTGAAATTTAACTATATCTGCAGGATAATCTACTTGAAGATCTTGATAGTAATCTAATTCCTATCATAATCTACTCAGTTCAAAAAAATATTGTGAAATAGTCATCTCTCATTATTACTCACTCGTGAATATGTAAGAGATGTCGCATTCCATATTTTTTTCTACAGTATCGAGTAACAAAGATGTTCGTACAATATGTGCTTGCATGGAATTGATTAGCCAAGAGACCAAAGAATTTTCAGAGTCTCATCTATTATATTATAAACTATCTACTTCTGGTTTTTTCATATCACTTGTAATTTACCTTTGCAATCCTTTAACCTTGATAAACAATGCATAAGATCTTATCCAAATAAAATAATTAGTTCCATCAAGTTTTACAGAACTGATTTGCAATGAAGGATTATCCGAATAAGAAACCATCACCTTTTTTGCTTTTATCATTTTAGGGTGCTAAAGATAAGAAGAAAAATACCCAATAATAAAAACAGACCTTATAGTTTGCACCGAAATAATAAAAAAAGTCAGAAAATACTGAAATTAGATCTGTCTGTCTCGACTCAGCTCGGCTTGAAAAAAAAGCTCGGCTAAAAAACAGCTCGGTTCAAAAACTGCTCAGCTCGGAAAACAACTCGACTCGGCTTGGTGCAGGTGGCTCGGCTCAGGCTGAAATCAGTTCAGCTCAACAGCTCAGATCGGCTCAATACAGCTGACTAGAAAAATTCCTCGCGCACGGCTCTGCGTGTGGCGAAGGGGAAAACTTGTGCCTGGTAGAAGGCCAATAAGTTGCGGCTAGAGGCTTCGTACGATTGGAGTGAGGTAAATCGTGCGTCTCTGCGCGCAGAGGAAGAAGAAACCAAAGGTTGTCGTGCGGCTCTGCATGCTGCTAAAGAAGAAAGAAACCTCGGTGCCCTACGCGACTCTGGGCACGGCTGAAGAAGCAGAAAATTGAGAGCATCTTTGCATCTCTGCGCGCGGTGGAAGAAGAAACTGGGCCGCATGGCTCTGCGCATGGTGGAGGAAAAAACCGGCTCACTCTTTGCGCGGCTCTGTGCATGGTAGAGGAAGGATCCGACTGCCTTCTCCCTTCCTCTGATCTTTCCTCTCTTCCCCCTAGTCTAGCTCTCTTTCTCCTCAGCTTCCTTTTGTTGTTTTAAGATTATAAGAAATCTCAAAATATCTTTATTATGCTCTGATATTATATAGAATTTGAAGAAAAAATATATTTTTATTCTCACCTTTTAGGTTGTGACATCTGGGTATTTATAGAATTTTTAAACTACTAATTAGGAAATAACTATTTTACTATAATCCTAATTACATAAAATTACTATTCTAATAAAATTTAATTAGATAATATCAACTAATAATTAAAATACTTAAATAATAAATTATACTACTCAACGAAGAAAATGGTATCTTGTGCACCAATTCCACAAATTCCAAACTCCCAAGTCCAACTATATTTCCAATAAGTTAACATGCTTAAACGTGACAAATTGTTCTCTTCACAAATCAAAACAGCAAATTGATTCTGAAACCAGAGAAGTTTATCAAAATCTTTGACTTTATAACATGTCAAAATGAAAATATAACTTAAGAAAAGAAGACTTACTTAAGTCTCCTTGCTTAGCAGCAATGTGAAAAGCATCATATCCATTCCTCGCCTTGATACCAGCCAAGCTAGCATCATAATACTTCATCATTTCTTTCACCAAGTCACCATAACCACATTCAGCAGCAACATACAATGCAGTTTCACCAAATTGGTTCTGTTTAGCCAGCAGACCCTTCAATTCTGTGCCCTCAATCTCGCCCATGATTTCCAAAACCAAACCCAAATTCCCTTCTCTCACAGCTGAATGCAAGGGCGTGTCATCCCGTTTCGCGGTCAACTGTTTTGTCATCTTCTTCTGTCGAAAAATCTGTTGCCTTACCGGAACCTCCATTGATTCAATTCCCAACTTGAAATCAAAAAGAGAAAAACAAATCTTCTCCTCTTGGTTCTATACAGTTAAGAGTATCAAGAATTCATGATTGACCCAGATCAACCACATCCATAGTAACCCAAAAACCAAAAGAGAATCAAGTAGTTATGAGAGACCCAATTGAAAGCATATCCAATGGCAGCCAGAAAATCAATATAAAAAATTTGATGAGAGAGGGCATAATTCAGATGTTTGCAGGGATATGCACGTGGGGAGGGTGAAAGAGTAATTCCCCCATATCCATATCCCGACTCTCGACAAATTCTGCAATCAAAATTTTAGCATTAAATTAGGTCAACTTGTTTCATCATCAACCATTATTATATAAACTCTTTCTTCATCAATTATCACTATCAACATCTCCGCGAAAAAGAACAAAAACTAAATAAATAAATGGCCAAAAACAAATAAGGGACGTGAATTCTCAAAAGTCTCCCGTCAAACAATTTGAAACATTTACATTTACATACTTCCAAAATCTGGCGAAACTACAAGACTTGCTGGGTGCATGAGGTTTACCCACATATGCGGCAGAAAACAAAAAATTATTCAAACAAAAACCAGATACACTAAAATAGATATATATACATATACATATTTACCAATATGCAGGGTCGCCAACACAACGGGATGAAGAACACAAAGAACAATCCTCAATTTGATTGAAAGGAGATCCTACTTGACGACTGTCAAACGGGGATGGACTAAACATTTTCCGACCTACAGTAGAGGGAGTAAACCTCTCTGGCATGTAAATTCAAGTTGAAGCCAAGAAATCTGGCGTGAGGGAAGAAAATTGGAGAGGATAGAGGAAAGAGGTATAGAGTTACTGGCACCTGTCAAGTGGTGTTCAAGGTTAGTGGCGCAAGCGTCGTTGCGCGGGCGAGGAGAGGAAGGAAGGAGGGACCAGGAAACGCATGCCAGATGTTGTCGTTTTTGTCATTATTGAAATATATAAATTTTTAAAAAATAATTTACTTTTTTATGAATAAAATATTATTTATTTACTTTTTTTATAAAAAAATAATAAATTCGATTTTTTTCCTATCAAAATAGGAAGTTAACAGGCCACTATATTTTAACTACACATCGTTTACTTTAACTAATATTTTAAAAGGTCATATTCAATATTTAAAATAAAGTAAGAATAAATAAATAAAAATTTAAAAAAATATTTTAGTTTTATATTTAATTACCAATGAAACATAAAGATTATAATCTCATTAAAGATATATAAAATGTAAAAGTAAGCCCTTCTAAGTTTGGTGACGTGACGTTTTTAACGGAGAAAGAAAAGAACAGACGGAAGGTCGTTGACTTGAAAAGCAGGAACGGACAGTCAAGGCGGCCGCACAAAAAGCGGGCCCACGACGATACCATCGTTAAAGGGGGGAAGATTGCGGGATTTTGGAACTCCCGAAAAAGTCATACATACGACAACGTTTCTTTTTCACACTTGCAAAAACAAAATTTTAATGTAGTTTTTTATTAGACGATTTTAATTTTAGTTAAATTTTTAATAAACCTTTTTATTTTAATACATTTTTTTAATTAAATAAGTATTTGGATTTTTAATTACACAGTTTTGAGTTTAATATGATTTTTAACTAAAAAAACTGAGAACATTTTTAATTTAAATAAATTATTTAGTTAAGCAGTTCTGGCACGTATAAAAACTGTGAAGGTATTTGAATACCATGATTATTTATTTTAACATATTTATTAATTTTAAAAATATAATAAAATTGATCTTTTATTTTTTTATGTTTTTAGAACACATATTTTTACTATTATCCTGCAGCATTGCACGAGTATGTCATTCATAAGCATGTAAATTATTAAATTCAAAAGAATATTTTCTTAAAAAAGTGTAGTAAATTATTCAAATAAATGTTCACCTGATGATTATTTGCTAGTTGCTACACTACCTGATATTTATGTCTAAGATAAAATACAACTAAATTTTTATGTGCAAAATATACTGCTCCCCATTTCTTAATAGAAGGGTACGCTTTCAAAGTTAAATTCATCCCATTTGCTTACAGTTTCAAGCAAAATGGATTCATATATTCAAAATTTCTATATATTCTCAAGGTTTTGAGAGAGTACCACCTGTCAGAAACCTAAATAAATCACACTTTAGATCAGCATGTACGTACATACCATACAACCATCCCGGCAATATTTCATCTGAGGCCTGTGAAGAAGAATGTTGTATACTCATCCCCTGGAAACTTTCCGAAGATGTAAACTAGTATCGGTATTGCTTGACTCCAGATTTTGTATATATGGAATGAGACCCCTTGGAAGTTGGAGCGTGAACTGAACTCTTTCCTGCTTCAATTTCTAATTAAAAGCCAGATGAGGTACAAAAAAAGATCATAGAGTCGAAGTCAACATCAGATGGCGTAAATTGGGTTTACTTCTGATTCAGTTTCTGAAGGATTTGTCACGCGCCATGAGTTTGCTGCATTCCTAGAATACTTCTCTTTCTTTTCTTTCTTCCGCTCTTTCCTAGTCCGCTTGGACTTCACAACGTAGAAAGTCATGGCACCCAGGACTCCTGACATGATAACTGCCCCAGTGACAGTAACAATAACTGCAGCCCATTGATTATGCCGACCAACCACAATATATGATGAAGAAATGAATGCAACTGTGGTGCATACGGATGCCAACCACATCAACTTGTTGATTACCTCCACAACCCTCCTCTCAGATTTTGTCTCTCCTCTGACAAGAGTGATTTGTACCACAACAACAGCCAAAGAAGTGAAAAGTGCTATTGCATTAAAGATAAAAAAGATCTTAAATGCAGGTGTGCTCACCATCACAGCTATCCCATTGTCATCATCACCACCAGGAACTGTGAAAAGAGCTGCAAATGCAACTGTTGCAAAAAGCACAGCAACAACTGTGACAGAGTTGGTGGCGTTGTTGATTCCTGCTCTATGCAGCTTTCGGAGCTCCTTGGCAATCCCATCTACATTCTTGTTGGTTTTGCGAGTTTGTTCCAGCTGTATATGGACATCTTTTTTTATCTGTGTCACAGTGTTCCTAAGCTCATCCCGTGGCTGGTTAAGTTCATTTGCTCTTAAAGCACCACAACGGGCCAAGCTATCTCTTATCTCTGAGGTTTCCTCAGACAGGGTGAGTCCTTCAGCTATGTCAAGGGCTGTTTTGTGATCTCTTGTTAGTGCATTCACGTTAGTATCAGGGAGGAGTAACAACTCATTCACTATCTGCAGGAAAAAAATGCTTGCTAGATTTTAATCATTT